TATATTATTATAACAGACTATTGCAGGTGAGAGGAGGATGTGATTAAAAATGAAAGCAATTGAAGCAAATTAAGAGTAAAGGAGATAGATAAAACTTAAAGACTGGAAAGATATCAAACTTCAGCACCTGTGTCTTTTCAAATGATGTATTGGGTCAAATCCCAGGATTTTTAGCAGGGAGAGAGAGAGGCAGAAACTTGAGTCATTCGTTATGTGTCCTAAAGAACATTGATCTAAAAACAAATCGAGGGTTTATAATTGTATATTGCTTACAAGCACATGTTAAATCTGTAAGTAAAGTTAACAGGATAGAAAGGCATTTGTTTCCTTGACCTGGCTTTATCTGTAATTTTGATTGTAAGAGGCTAGGCTTGACACTTCCTAAAGATTCCCAGGATCCTGGGCAAAGATTGGGGGTACATGATTATCTAATAGAAAGTTCTACTCTGTATTAGAATCATCAAATCATCACCAGTCTTTCTGGCTATGTATCTAGATAAAGGAGGGGAACAGCACATAATATCCATGTACAAAATAGAAGTGGTAACTAACAGGAAATAAAATTTAAAATGTGTCTAAAGATTAGCTTTCCCAAAGCTTCAATTCATGGTATGCATGGACTTGAGGTGCTTCATTTATAATAGAGCCAGACACAATATGAAATAATTGACATAATATGGACAGACGGAATGAATGAGGTGCTTATTACTTTAATCACTTTGAGTTACTCTGCCACACTGAGGTGAAGAACACAACCAAGATAAAATTGGAATGATCAAAAGAGATTATGAAACAGGAAAGGTCAAAGGCAAGTGTTTTTTTGGGGGGCGAGGGACAGAGAGAGGCAATTAAATGTTAGAGGTCCAGAAAGGTGTTTACTATCATCTCAGCATACTGGTATATAGTACATGGAAGTTCATTGTTTTCCTTATTTGGTTATTCTCCATATCAGTTAATACAGTATGTAAGGAACCCATTCGTGGAATCTCTCCCTAGTAATTGACTCCTTATCTTGGGTGCTTGCAGAAGAGGAAGATAATTGGAAGAGGACAATATTTGCAAAAGACCTAGATGCATGAAAGAGCATGGACCTGTTTAGAATACTGGAATCCAAGGCATATCTGGGGAAGAGACAGGAATCAGTACTGGAGAAGTTGGTCAGAAAGCAAATCAGAAGAGCTGTTGATGCGTCTCTGCCAGAAAGTTACTCTTAGTCTGCGAGTAATAGCTAATTATTGAAGGGATTTTAAGGACTAGGGATCTGCATTTATTATTATTATTATTGTTTCAAAACATTCTTGGAACCAAAGTGGCTAACTTTGAGTCAAGAAAATGCTCATGCCTTTGTCTAGATAAAGAAAATGCTCATCACCTTTGTTCAGTGAAAGGCGATTAGCATTTTCCTTATCTAGACAAAGTTGAGGCGGTGGGGGTGAAAGAAGGAAATGAATCGGAGAAATCACTAACAATTGAAAAACAGCATGTTGAGGATGAGAGAGAGCAGGAAATCCAGCATGACGTCAGGTTTCTGGATGTGCTGACTGGGAGGCAATGTGGCCATTAACGGTGAGGAGAAATTTCAGAGGAAGAACAAATTGGGGTTCAGCAGCAATGACTTCACTTTCCAACCTGTTGAATCTGAGGCAGTTGGTTAAATATTCAAGTAGATTAATCCAGAGGATAGTTGGAAATATGGTCTCGAGGTACCAACTTAGAAGGTACTCACCTAGTGTCATTAATCATATGAGTATATGTAGAAAGATTGTGTAGGGTAAGAAGGAAAGAACTGGCAAGGAGGATGCCCAGAGAACCACATTTAAGGGATGAATGAATGCAAATTAGTCTACAGATTGACTAGAGACAGCAGAGAAGTAGGAGGTGAACAAAAGGAGAGAGGTAAAATCAAGTTCAGGGAAGCAGAATTTCAATGCTTGTGCAACAGTCAACCCAAATAAATGGGGCAAAAAGGTCAAAATCACTGAAAAGTGCTGATTGAATGCAACAATAAAATCATGGAGTTTCAATAGGATAGTGAGAACAGAAGCCAGTAATTGGGTGAAAAGCGAATGAATGAGAAAAATAAAGCATGGGTTGAGTGCTTTTTTCAAAAATTTCTGCTGTGAAGGAAAAGAGGTAGGGTTAAAAGTACAATTGCTAAAGGAATTTAAGAAGTATTTTGGTATATTTGGTATGTCTATATTTGTTTTAGAAGCATAGAGCATGTAGACAGGGTATAGGACCAGGAAGCATACGCAGAGCCAAGAGCAAGCTGATGGGGCCACTGGCCTCTGATCTGCCGGGCATTAGAGAGACAATAATTATGACGGCAAACTGAAATAGTACTTACTATGCTACAAACACTCTTCTGTATTTTGTTTACATGTATTAATTTGCCTCCCTGGCATATCTGCTCTGTCACGTACATTTTAGAATCCCCATTTAGCTTACAAAAAACTGAGGTACAAAGAGGTGGACTTAACCTGCCCAATTTGTGTTCTGCCCACTACACTAAACAAATACATTACCTCAGAGCTGCTAAAATGATATATACCTGTACACATCAGCTTCAACAGATTTAGAAGATCCTTAATTGAGTGGTAGAATTAAAGAGGAGGTAGGGACCAGGGCTTTTGCTATAGATACAAGATTTCATCTTGTGGAGTTTATAATCTGATAGGGGAGGCAGAAACTAAGTTCACCAAAAATATTTCCCTTATTAGGGAAAGTTTCACAATGCAATATGTCTTTGCAATTCTTTCATAACATTCAAAAGTTGAGGATTGAGTAAAATTATTGCCTCTTGAATATTTGACTGTTAATCTTGAAAGAAAGTTTAGTTGAGAATAACAGCTGAGAGTTAGTTTGTTGTGACAGAACTGAACTAGTCATTAGAATGAATTAAAATGTGGGTGAGTAATTTAGGGTGGTAATCAGGGCTAGAATGTGGGTGGAAGTGGACAGGAAAGAAAGAGAAATGAAGATGGAAATGATAGGATGTTGAAACAAAGATTATCTTGATCACACAGTTGAGTGAAGCTCGAAATTACTTTTAGGTAATTGGTAGAACTCACAAAAGGCTAAGTTAACTTTTGTATTTGAGGCACATTGCTTATCCTGATTGCTTGAACTTTTCCTAGTTTTATGCGTATCCCTCTAGAAAGGTAGCATTGTTTGAAAATTTTTTTTTTAATTAGGAATTTTTTAGTCTCTTGCTCTGCTATTAGTATTAGCAACAGAAACTAACAGTAAGATTTATCCAAATCTTTCTATGTTCCAGGCATAATGCCTGCTATTTTATATGAAGTATTTCATTTTACTTTATAAAAGTCCTAGAGATGGCTCACTATTATTCTTACTTTACACTTGAAGAAACTCAGGCTTAGGGACACAGCATTCCCTTTCTAAGGTCATAGAACTTTCAAGTGCCTAAGCCAAGACGTAAACCAGGTGGTGTGACTCCAAAATCAAGCACTCAAAACTCTGCACTGTACAAGAAATAGACAGTGTCCTGATCTAGCCACTTCCTTCCGAGTTGGCTCAGAGCTACCATGTCCACATGTGAGAAGATTAGCCTTCGAAAAACTTTGTCTTTCAGTTCTCCTGACTATAGTTCTTTAGGCCTTTGTTCTTGAGAATGAATATTAGGGGAAAGTTGAGCCTCATAAAAAATAGTTAAAAGTTATCTTTTTTTTTCCAACACCAGACAAATTGTAGATCTCTTCATGATTCATTCTGCTGAACTATGCAAACGTCATAGTATAAAAGCTATCTCAATGAAGGTAGAGAAGCTTCCTATGTTTATACCTTGCTTGACAAAGCTGTTAAAAATATTTCTTTACTTTTTCAATGCAAAAGAGAGCTGTACTTGTGCATGCTTAGTTGTTCTAGATACCTGTGTTGAAATTATACTGAAGAGAGTCTTGATAAGGAAGGCACTTGGGACAATGAAAGTGAATATAACTATCCCAGTGATGTTTATCCATCCATCTCTTCCAAGCTATGTACTTGCTGTGCTACCTGCTGAGATACAGAAATAAAGACAATATTGTCACCAATTTCATCTTGTGGAGTTTATAATCTCATGGGGGAGGCAGAAATTTAAAAAGTTGACCAAAAATATTTAACTACTGTTAAATTGGATTTTGAAAACTCTAATAAAATTCTAAATGTGATTGCTTTCCAGTTAACTGTAATGGCCTCCATAGCTTTGAATGCTGGGGAATGGGCTAGTTAATGACCGCAAGTACACTAGCTCTGTGTAAATAAGTGTACAATTATAGACTCAGTGTATTAAAATAACTGAGGCAATAAGTATTAAAAAGGCTACTGTCTTCCATAGGTTAAAGTGCTATGTAAGTAGAAGAAAATAGCATACTTAAATATCTTCATTATTTATGTTCTACATTGCTTATTTATTGCTGTATTATGAAACAGACAAATACTGATCTTGGGCTGCTGTTATAGGGAAATTTTAAAAAATAAGTTATCACTGGTTCTTCTCTTGCTTCTTGTTTCTGCTGTATTGTCCTGGACACTAAGTGAAAGAGACATTCTAAGGAAGACTAAGAACAGCAGCCCTAAGCCAGAAGATCTCCAAACCTATTTTTTCTGTATAGTTTTATTTTTTGAAACCAAACCCCAAAGTTATAAAGTGATATTCAAGCATGTCCAAAGCTTTATTAAAAGTTTTGTGTTTGATATTAAAACTGAGTAAGAGTTCCTAGGTAACACATGTACTTGAAGCCTTAATCCATGAAAATTATCTCCCTTGAGCTTAGGCTGGATGAAATTGTGCTGTGTCTCCTGCCTGTTTAGGTCCCTGGAAAATGCATAGAGTGAAATTTACACCTTTATGGATTCTTGAAAGAATGTCTCTGTATTTCCCTGCGTTTATATGGGCCATGCTACAGTGGCACAGTGACAGTATTATTGAGTTTCTAAATTCCTATATTGGTTTTTAATAAACTCATGACTTTCTTTCCCACTGAATTTTCTGACAGGCCCAGTTTGAACTTCGTACATTTCATATCCGGGGCGAGCATGCAGTGATAACAGCGAGACTAGAAGAAACCATTGAAAATCTGAAACACGAGTTAGAACATAGATGGCGAGGGGGTTGTGAAGAGAGGAAAGATGTGTGCATTTCTACCGATGATGACTGCCCTCCAAAGACCTACAGAAATGTGTGCATTCAGACAGACAGAGAGACCTTCCTCAAGCCCAGCGAAGGTGAAAGCAAGACAACCAGAAGTAATCAATTAGTACCCAAAAAGCTGAATATCTCCTCTTTAAGCCAGCTCTCTCCCACAAATGACCACAAAGACATCCATGCAGCACTCCAGCCAATGGAAGGCACCGAGTCAAATCAGCAGAAGGCACCCCCTCCACCTCCTGCACCGCCCCTGCCAGCATCCATCCCTCCCCCTCCGCCTCTTCCCCCAGGACTTGGATCTTTGTCTCCAGCACCTCCAATGCCACCGCCACCACCTCCACCGCCACCCCCACCACCACCTCTACCTCCACCTTCAAGTGTTGGACCTCCACCACCCCCACCCCCACCCCCACTTCCTAACTTCCCTGCCCCACCCAACCCTGGAGGGCCTCCTCCTGCTCCAACCCCCCCAGGACTTGCACCCCCACCTCCCCCTGGACCCTTCTTTGGACTTGGCTCTTCTTCCAGTCAATGTCCTCGAAAACCAGCCATTGAGCCCAGTTGTCCCATGAAGCCTTTATACTGGACTAGGATACAAATAAGTGATAAGAGGTAAGCTCTCCCCTATCCCATTTTCAGCACGTGAATTCCCAGGATTTTACCCAAATGATGTTTTATTTTTACTGGGTCAACATGTCCATAGTGTAACACCCATTATCTAGTGTGATACAGTGAATGCCTTGGATAAACAAGGTTGGGATGTTTGGGGAGAATGTCTGTCTCCAGCAAGGCCTCTCTATATTCTCTAAAGATGCTGGAAGAAACAATGTGTTTCAGTGTCAAATTTTTCTCTAAGGCAAATGTTCAATTGTATAGACTGGAGTCCAGGTCTAAACCAGGGCTTTCCCCAACATCACTACAACTGATGAGTAATCATAAAGCATTGAACCTGATTCCATACTGTAGGTTCACTAAGGATTTTTCTAATACTTTTTACTGTCTTGTTTTTAGATGCTGTAATCAACCTATAATCTAGATATTTAATAGAAATGGGTGTTTTTCAATTTTTATTTAAAGAACAAGATACGGATCAGTTATTAGTTCTTTAGATTAGAAGAGAGTCTTGAAATATAAACTCTCTCTGCTTGAACGCTATTTCTTCTAACTTTTAAATACTCTCACATCTTTCTTTATACCTTGATGCCCTTCAAAGAAAATATCAGTATGTGGATAGCTGAAAGCATCTTCCATATATACAGGTTGATAAGCTGGGTTTGTAAGGTAGCAAGATACAGTTGCTTGGAAGCATCCATTCAAACAGATTTGAACGTGATCTGTTCGGCCTTATTTTTGAGCCTGGATGGAGGACAATGAGAGACATGTTGCCTCTCGACCACTTCCTCCTTTAAAGTTTGTTTGTAAAGAACAGCAAATATAGGACACATTTTACAACTGTTCCCAAGTCGTGATGTGGTAGTAAATTCTTCAATTTATGTAACATTTTGCTTACGGAAGGCAGGATATGAAAGAAAATAACACACAACTCACAATTATAAAACAGCCAGAAATCACTGTGGAGGAACACAAAATACCTTAAAACTAAGCATATGTGCTTCATATTTTCCCCTTTCCTCTCGCCAAAAACTAAGGGCCAAGAGTTAATTTTTGGAATACCCTGATACTTCTTTTTTCAAAATTTAAGTATACTTCGTAATTTCCCAAATGAATAGTTAATAAAAGTGAGATGATCCTGTAATAACTTCTGCCATTAACTAAAGTACTAGTATTCCCTTTTCCCCAATAAAGACTCAGACATTTACTAAAAAATCATTTCCCGGAATATTTATTCTGAGTCATGTTTCCTTATTAGTGTTCTCAAATTAGTGCACAGCCATTCCAGGGTGATGGCTGCCACCTGTAAGCCTTGGACGAGTATGTCCGGCAGTGCAGGGAGCTGTTCCACACCTGTGTCCTACTAGCCTGCTTTCATTTCCTTCCCTGAGACACTTCATGAGCAGCAGATACTGTAGACCACAGCAGCCGTAAAACAGTGGCCCTGGGAGATATGGGCCCTTCACCCAAGACCAAGGGAAAGCTAGGGATAATCATTGTCGGCCTTGTTTCCTCCTTATGTGGTTGACCATTTGGAGAAGAATACAAATTGGATACTCAAGATCTCATTGGTTTCATCATAAATCTAGGCTTTTACTTTTGAGCAAATGAAAAGCAGATGAATAGGACATCAAGAGAGCCCTGCTTGGTGAGCGTATCACCCTTGAGCCTGAAATATAACATAGGGGCTGCCCCGCTGTGATGTGTTAAGACTTATTGCGTGGGGACTTCCTAATGACACCACATATTCAATCTCTTTTATTATGGTCCCTCCAACTTTTTCTACCTATTAGAACTACTGCTTTTAAATGAAAATGATTCAGAGTCTGTGCAGTGTTTGCTTATGAGCAAAAGTGCAATTATTTGGGTACCTTCTTATAAAGGAGGCAAAATCGTATTTTAACATTTTGTGCAACTGAGGTGTAAGTAGTTTATATAATGATTGCATCATAAATGTTGGTCTTGCTTTTTGGGAAGCCAGAAACAAAATGTGAATTTTCAGCATTGTATATACACTGCCACTCATCCACCTCAATTGTTTTTGACTACTGGTATGAACTGATTTTTTTCTTTTGCCATTTTGCCTTCTTCGGTGTCTGTTTTGTGATTTCTAGAATAAGAAAGAGACAATTAGTTAAAGAAAAATAAATCCTCATCTAACTACCTTTTCAGCTTTTTAGTAAGTTTCTCATTTTCCTCCTCTTCTTTCTTTCTCTTCCTCTCCCTGCTTTCCATGTGAGCTAGAATTTTATGTTCAGTGGTCAGTTGACCACCATGGCAGGTCACTCATTGTGAAGCAGGTCCTTATTATTGCCCTACCCAATGCTGGCTATCCCCAAATCACTGAGAGGCAGTGTTCCAAAATTCTTTTATTCAGTATTGGAAGTGCCTTTCCCATAGAAATAGTGTTGTAAATGGTGATCAGGTGCTCAAACTGATCACCATTGATTCCCAAAGCCAATTTACACCAGAGTATAAGTGAATTATAATACTAGTTATACTGGCCTGATCTCAGAGTCCATGTAGCTAGAACCAACCAGGTGCAGGAAGTGGGGATAGGGCTGAGCAGTTGGCCTATCACATTGCCTCACCTCACTCTAGGCATCACTCCTTAGCTGCCCAGAACCTTCCCAAGGCCCATACCAGTGGCCCTTAACATGCCACATGCTCACTCCAGAATTCCATGGCTGGGTTCCTCAATCAAGATCCCACCTTTCCCCACCTCTCCCCCAGCACCACAATGATAAGCGCTGAACATTAGTGGCGCTCATGTTTCAAGTTGAAGTTAGGTGAGTAGCAGAGGGGAATGGCTGAGGGAGGAACACATACAGGGATATACTTCACTGGAAATGTTCTAGCCCTTGGGTTGGGTAATGGTTTCCCAGGTGTTCATTGTATTGTTATACTTTATAACTTCCATATGTCACATATATACTATTAAATGATTCAACCATTAGAAAAATCATAATTTAAAAAATAACAAAAAGCAGAGGAGAGAAGAGGTGAATGTGATCAAACCCAAAATGTCATATAGCATGGGAAAGGCAGATCTATTGCAAAATGTGAACATGCATGCCTGAGAAGCCAGTGCTGCCAACTGTTTTAAACATCAAAATCACCTGTAGTATCAAAAAATTTGGTGGACCATTCTATATAATAATAGTTATCTTTTTAGTTTTCATTGAGAAAATATGTATGGAAACAAAGTTATATATTTTAGATGTTATGGATTGTAACATATACATATGTTTGATAAATAATAAGTATGTAGATAAAATTTTTTTCCATCTGTGGGCATTGAGAGTGTTTATTATTATTTTTGAGATGTTCTATCACCTGTGCAGTGACACAACCTTGGCTCATTGCAACCTACGCCTCCCAGGTTCAATCCTTCTGCCTCAGTCTCCCAAGTAACTGGGATTACAGGCACACTCCACCACGGCCAGCTAATTTTTTGTATTTTTAGTAAAGACAGGGTTTCACCATGTTGGCCAGGATGGTCTTGAACTCCTGACCTCAAGTAATCTGCCCACCTCAGCCTCCCAAAGTGCTTTTCTTTCTTCCCTCCAAAACTTGGGTGCTCATTTCTGGAAGACGAATCAGCACAATTACCCTGTGGCTGCTTTAGTCGAAATCCCATGAGGGCTGGTGTAATGGAGGAGGTTTTTGGTTGGTTTTTGATGTTACATTGTTTAGGGGATTTAGATACTATAAATCATGTTATTTTAAAATAAGCTTAGCCTCTTCACAGATTAAGGACTTTGCACTGAGTTAACCTGCATTAATCCTAAAAGCTGTATTTAAGAGTAGTTGAAAAAGTCCAAAGAGGAGGCAGATCTTTAATTCGGTACTCCATTTTCAATCTACTTCAGAATTAGCGTGTCAAAGTCTCAAATTGTTTTATATTTTCAGCCTTTATATGATGCCAATTTTTACACATCATGGAAATGCCCAGATTGAAGGAGGAGCAGCTTGGGTGCCCCTAGTAATCCAAATCCCACGATTTATAGCCCCAAGGAGTTTCTCTAGAGCACTATCTCTGATTGTTCCTAATGACAGTTGTTTTTTTTGGAAATATGTCTGTGTGTGTTTTAATGTTCTATAGTATATTTTGACTTTAACAAATGCATAACATGAAAAGCCTTTCTCCAAGCATTATTAGAGTTTTATGTTTTTTTTAAGTAAAATAAAAAATGGATTAGAGAAAGATTTCATTGTATTATATTCTCTCCTATTTTGGTTCTTATGGTTAACTTGTCGTTTTCTCTTTTAAGCCAAAATGCTGCACCAACCTTATGGGACTCCTTAGAAGAACCCGACATTCGGGACCCCGGTGAATTTGAGTATTTATTCTCCAAAGACACAACTCAACAGAAGAAAAAACCTCTGTCGGAGACTTATGAGAAAAAAAACAAGGTCAAAAAGGTACTGAGTGATTATAGCAAAGCTGTAATTATATATATATGTATATATATACACACACACATATATATATATACACACACATACACACATGTATATATATACACACACACACATATATGTGTATATATAATACAGGGAAATGGTATATATATATATATATCATGTATACATACACGTACATATACATATATGTGTCATTCATGGGAATTTATTACATATTCATTGTATGTGTGTGTGTATATGAGTCATGGGAATTCATTACATGCTGTTGGTTTGCTTTCCCTGTTTTCAGGAAATGCTTCAGAAGGTTTTGAGTGGTAGATGGCAAGGGAGCCAATAGTTCATGCCATCTGTGCTTACTATTTTGGCCATATCTTCCGAATTTTCAAAATTTAATCTGGACTTTTTTAACCATTAATTCATTGAAATCAAAATAAAATTTAATTTGTGGTTAGTGAAAGTAGTCTGTAGGTTATATGAAAAATAGGTTTTATCTGTAAATTCATTTATTTAACAAATATTTCCTAGGAGTTTACTGTGCTAGGCATTTGTCCTAGGCCTGCACTGTCCAGTATGGTAACATGTGGCTATTAAATAATGAAATTAAATAAAATAATGTAGTTCTTTAATTGTGCTAGCCACTTTACAATTTTGTTGTTGTGGCTAATGGCTACTATATTGGATAGCAGAGATGTAAAACATTTCCATCATATAAAAAGCTCTGTTGGACAGCACTGTCATAAGCATTTGGATGTGTTGAGGGCAAAAAAAAAAAAAAAAAAATCCGTCCCCCATGGAGTTTATATTAACAAATGCTAAACACAAACCCTGTCAATCACATATTAGTGCAGGAGGAGGAGGGCCAACTTTAGTAGGGTGGGAATGAGGTCTGTAATTTAAAATGGGATGTTCAGGGTAGGCCTCATTATGAAGGTGACTTCTCAGTAGTGACTCAAGGATTGAAAACTGAGAGGCACCAGCCATCTGTAAGAGAATGAGTTTAAGATTGTCAAGCAGTCAGGCAACCATGAGGATGAATCACACTCTGCCACACACTCACTGTGAGATCTGAGGCACTGATGCTAGGTCTTTCCACTCTGTGTGTCTGGGTCCCTGCATCATAGCATGAGATGATGTCTGCTCATAATGTTCCTCTAATTATTCAATGAGGTAATACATGTATCAGGCTCAGCACACTGTCAGTGCTCAACATATTATAGCTGCCCTTGCTTTTGCTACTGTTACTACCACGGCTACCATTTCCCTGTTTTAGTGGGTTTTTGTTTGGTTGGTTGGTTTTCCTTATTTTTAATAGTAGCAGAAATGGTGCCAAGGAAAAAGTGTAGTACTCTCTGTTCTGCTATTGATTTGCTATGTGAGCTTGGGCTGGTTGTCTTCCTTGTTATATTTTCCCTTCTCTATAAAATAGGATTAACAGTACCTGAATCTACCTGACCCTCTAGAATGTTGTGAAATTCACATCTAAGAGGGTCTGAGGCAGTGTTTTGAAAAGTGTATCATATTGAATGATAACATCAACCCTTTTTTGTGTGTGTGTGATAGAATCTCGCTCTTGTCGCCCAGGTTGGAGTGCAATGGCACGATCTCAACTCACTGCAATCTCCTCCCCCTGGGTTCAAGCAATTCTCCTGCCTCAGCCTCCCAGGTAGCTAGGCTTACAGGCATGCGCCACCATACCTGGCTAATTTTCTATTTTCAGTAGAGACGGGTTTCACCAGGTTGTCCAAATTGGTCTCAAACTCCTGACCTCAGGTGATCTGCCCAACTCAGCCTCTCAAAGAGCTGGGATTACAGGTGTGAGCCACCATGCCTGGCCACCCTTCCTTCTTAAATTATATAGTGGGGTTCATCATCAGTTCATTTCTCAAGTAATGTAATGATGATGAAATTAGCTGCAAATTACTGGGGACAAATGGAAAATGTCTGAATATAGTTTTCTGTTCATCAAATCAGATTTTCCCACTGACTTTAATTATGGATACAATCGTGATCAAAATTTTTCGTCTCTCAAGTTCGCTGGAACTGTGTTGTCTTGAGAAAAATATCCAAATAAGTATTAAAGCAAAATTTTAAGAGGCTATATTGCATGGAACAAATTGAATTTTTCTAATAAATTGGCTCTGTGATCCCAACCAAATCTCATCTCTCATTGTAATCCCCAGCCGGGTGTGGTGGCTCATGCCTGTAATCCCAGCACTTTGGAAGGCCGAGGTGGGCAGACCACCTGAGGCCAGGGGTTTGAGACCAGCCTAATTAACATGGAGAAACCCTGTCTCTACTAAAAATACAAAAATTAGCCCCGCATGGTGGCAGGCACCTGTAATCCCAGCTACTCGGGAGGTTGAGGGAGGAGAATGACTTGAACCTGCGAGGCAGAGTTTGCAGTGAGCCAAGATCGAGCCATTGCACTCCAGCCTGCACAAGAAGAGCGAAACTCCATCTCAAAAAAAAAAAAAATTAGAATCTCCACATGTCCAGGAGGCACCTGGTGGGAGGTGATTAGATCATGGGGGCAGATTTCCCCTTTCAGTGAATGAGTTCTCATGAAATTTGGTTGTTTGATAAGTGTCTGGTGCCACTCCCACCCCACCCTCTCTCTCCTGCTGCCGTGTTGGTAGTATTTTTATAGCCACATTAATCTACTTCAGTGTGAAAATAGATTAATACAAATAGTAAGTTCCAGATAAATCCAGACCCCCCCCCAAAAAAGTCAGCTGATTTACATAAAATGTATTCTCATGCAATTAGATTCATATTAGATGTTGTAGCCAGGCTGGCTTTTTAAATGCCACCTGTAGAAACAGAAGACTTGTTTCTACCTGAATGTAAAAATGAAAATCTCTATATTCAAAAGCTAATTTCAGTTTGCCTCTTTCAGGAAGGCTTCTCTGACTAATCAGAAACTCTGCTGAATACTTTCTTATGCAAGATCATATTAAACTTACTTTTGTTCTGTATTGCTTCTTAGATTGCTATTACTCTTCATGTCTCTCCAGATGCATGAAAACATGCTGTTTATTCATAGAACTATGCACTTCTGTTTTGGTGAATGAATATTGTTTTTAAAACATTGAAGCATTTGGTCATTTATTCTTATTTCTTTTCTTACAATGGTTTGCGTGTTCAACAAAGGATTTTAACTAAGCCAGTTAGTACTTGATAAATTCATTTTGTTTCTCTGTCTGAGGGGGGAAATACGCTTCATTTAAACTCTAAGTTTTCTGTATACAGTGGTTGCCATTGCCCCATAGAATCTATGCACTTGAGTAGTGCTTGCTTTTCTCTGTAAGTGGAGGCAAAAAAAAAAAAAAAAAAAAAAAAAACAATGGGTCTACTGGGCTTTGTGGTAATATGCAGCTTGGAGTTTTCATTGAGCTTTATGTCCTTAGAGCTGAGGTTTTAAGTTTTAAAGAAAATAGCAAGCTGAACTGATGCCAGAAAACTCCAAACCTGCCTCCTATGATCTTTCCTCCATGCCTGTGGCCAGATTTCCAACATCAAGATGGATCCCTTGGTCTCTTCTGAGAGTCAGATGTTTGTTTTCTTCCCTCTTGAAAATGAAAAGTGGTTTTAGAGGTGGTGAGCAGCTGAGGAGTTTCAGCATTGAAGACCAACTCCTTCAACTGATCATGGAATGGTTCCCATATGAGAAGACCAGAAAGACACTTGCCAAATAGGTCTTTTTATAATAAAATGACTGAACAGGAGAAAGAACTGGGTATATTACTGGATTTCAAAATCCAGGATTCTGAATCTCGGCTCTAGGGCCTCAGCAGCATTGAAATGTGAATATGAAAATATGAATCTCTCTCTTTTTTTTTTTTTTTTTGAGACAGAATTTTGCTCTTGTCACCCAGGCTGGAGTGCAATGGCATGATCTTGGCTCACTGCAACCTCCGCCACCCGGGTTCAAGAGAGTCTCCTGCCTCAGCATCCCAAGTAGCTAAGATTACAGATAGCCACCACAATGCCCAACTAATTTTTGTATTTTTAGTAGAGATGGACCGGGGTTCACCATGTTGACCAGGCTGGTCTCAAACTCCTCACCTCAGGTGATCCACCCACCTCAGCCTCCCAAAGTGCTGGGATTACAGGTGTGAGCCACTGTGCCTAGCCATGAATATCCCTTAAACACAGCTGGTCTTCGTCCCTCAGCGCATTACACATTTGTATTTCAGAAGTAATAGGATGATCAAGAGTCTGGACTCAGATATTAATTTCTAACTTCAACTACTACAATAGTATTTAAATTTCATATCACTGGCAGTTGTTCAAAGTAACTCTCTCTATATATCTTCTTAAACTAGGCAGGGATCCTCTTCTGTAATATCATGTAGTCTAAGAATTAGAAGGAATCTTACCCATCATCTAACTCAGTTCTCTCATTTGGCACATGAGAAACTGAGACCTAGAAAGATAAAGTGACTTGTAGGGGTTTGCACACTTTTAACTGGGAAGACATTGATAATGATGAACACTTGTTCATCAGCATGTGTCTGCATTTCCTCTTTATTTAAATGGTAATTTGCCACATTGGCGAGAGTATCAACTTGCGCTGGGGTGATTTATTTGAAGTTTATAAATGAGAGTAGTCATTGTTAAAATCATCAACAAAATATAGCCACACTTCTGCAAATCCAAAGTATTTCCATAATTATCCACAGTTTTCTTCAGAGCCTTCCAATAGGAAGCCAAATCTTTGAGTAAAAAAATGTGCTTTCTATGTAACTCCAGCAAAAGACATACAGATTTGGAGCTGGTGTTTTCTTTGACCTTATCAATACCTTTAAAATATTAGCTATAATAAAATTAATAGAAATTATTACACATTTGTATTGCATAGTTAGGTCGGTGCCATGCTCGTTTGTGATACTAGACCACTTTGCTACTACATAATAGTAACCAAACTGAGAACCAGAGCTCACAATACCAGCTCTCAGTAAAACCACTACCACTTGGTACTGTCTGTTATTTTTTCC